TGCCACACATGTAGGGGAAGCGATTCGAAGCTCCGATCTGCTTCAACGGTCAACAATCATAGATGCCGTTCTGTACGCCAAACTGTCGAAGATAAGTTGGGCTAGACACGGAATACGTCTGAACGACAACCTATGGACATAGCCCGTTAGTGACTGGATTCTTCGGAATGTTAAATGGTCTGCTGGAAGACCACGGATCTGTTGCATAGGGTTACTCACAAAAACCCTCGAAGAAAAGTGTGATGCTCATAGAGTTCTTAGAGCGAGCAGAGCCCACGGGGATACTCTTGCACGCGGCAGGGAAAAATGGAAGATTTACTGGCACCCGCTCGAGATTTACTGGCACTCGAGACATTTGCGATACTACGAACACCTGTAACATCGGTCAACAGAACGACCGGTGTTACAGGTGTACGTAGTATCGCAAATGTAGTATTATTTTGGCATCCTTTTTTATTTTCTTTACGTTTCGGCATCACATGTTGTTATCCTTCATTCACTATTGACATCTGATTTTGCGTGTGTGTTTTAGTGAATACCCGAGGATTGTTTCTTCTTCATTGATGTTGCAATAACTATTTTATCACTGTTTTCTTTTCTCATGATATTTTTTTCACCTTTTTTTGACCACTTTATGATAGTTGTTTTAAGTTTAGTATATTGTGAATAAGATTGTTTTTTTATACATCTGATCAGTTTCTCAATGGCTTTCTTGTTTTTCTTCCTTATTAGTATCGATTCATATTGTCGACACATAGGTGTTTTTTTTCAAAAAGTCAGTTTTGTTTTAATTGAAACAAAAAAAGGACCAACGAAGGTCAAGTAAAAAACTTTGGCTTAATTAGGCCCGCTGTTACAATAACGTTTGGGTTGCATTGCTTAGCTGTACATCGAAGACTGCTGTTTCAGGACCTTTTCACATCAGTCAGCAAAAAGTGGACACGATAAAAGCGGAAATGTATGTTAATATATTCACTGTGGTGCAAATGTAACGATTTTCAATGGTGCACAAAAACAATTCGATCTTATAACTTTGACTAGCAGTCAACGTCATATGTTCAAGTGCAAAGCATTAGATTCTACCGAACTTTCTGAGAAGTTCTGACTGTCTGGGGCTCGTGAATCGCTTGTTTTCGGTATTTTTTTGTCAAGGTTCTTACGCACTGAATCAAGATGCGATGTTGATGCTTGTGGGTGCGACTTTTGAGATAAAAATCGTTAATAAACAAAAATAGTCTTCTATAAAACTGCCAATTTATCCTTAATTAGAAAGCGTCTAGTTTCTTCTATAAATATACCATCTCCTTAAATCATCTTTTTTAATAGTTATTGAATAATTGTCAGCAGTTATCAAGGAACCATTGTCCTCGCCTCGGCATTGAAAGTGGAAAGTTGAAAACTGAAAAGCGCCATTTTTGGACGTTTATTCTTGTTATGATAAAGGATAAGCGATTAAGTTTTCGGGTTGATCAATCCCTAGGTGATGCGCCATGCATTCGGCTTCATCGCGCATCGTTAGGAACGACTGAATGAATATTCTGGCCTATACAATAACTAGCAGTGGCGTACCGATATCTAGAGTCAGTGCTGCTATCCTTTCAAGGAGATGTAGTTCCAAATTTTCTAGCTTGGCGAAAAGGGCTTCATGCATTTGGGGCTCGGGATCGTAACAACGACTTCATGTGCATTACAGGGCACCGCTAACTACTGCGCTCCACCCAACCTTTATAATGTCATCAGTATGCTAGTTCAAGCATAAAACAACTATCTTAAACCGATTTTAATTCAACAAACATAAAACTGGTCATGTGTTTTCTCTGAATACATTTTCCAATGTTGTGAATTCTTATTTTTATCTACTTATGCGATACAGTGATAGTTAAAATTAATATTTTTATAACGAAGGGCTTTAACCAGCACGTTTAGTGCAAATGCGTTCTTTTCTGATTGGTAAGTATTTTATTTGCGATGTTTTCAACAGCAACATTTTCAAGTTTGCCATACAATATATGGATATTGTATAACAATCCTATCAATCCTTTTTGTTTGTTGTTCGCTGTTTCTCAAAAACTCTGTTTTCGATCCTCCTATTGTTCAACACTCATGTTGTCCTTGGAAATGTCGTTATGTTATTTTTTTCTGCCTGGAAATACCTGTTGTATTATTTTTGTTTCGGAGCTCCTACCTTCTAATGATTCCATAATCTGTACAGAAATTGTGAGCTGGAACGATTTCTATCGAATAGACTCGTATGTCGCAGCAGGCTGGCATGACACGCTATCGCCAGCACCCGTATCTACCTTGTAATGTTGAGGTAAATTAATCTATGCCACAATAATCGAATTTAGTATAGTCCTTCAAACTTTTGAAGTTGCTGTGAAAACTACTCGACAATGAAAAATTTGCACATCTGGCCTATACAATGACTAGTGGTGGCCTACCGATGTATCGAGCCAGTTCTGCTACACTCCCAGGCAAGTCTGGTACCAATTTGTGGACCCAGGACAGACAGAGGGTTTAGCTGGCCTAGGAAGAGGGATCGATCTTCTGTATATTGCAAAGCGCCTGTAACCACTGGGGCTACACGCGCCGCGCTAAAATGTGGGAGAACAAGTTACAAAGCGAACAAACATTAAAATTTAATGACAGTAATTAAGTATTTTTTGGATATTTTCTCGCTCTGATTCTCCAAATATACGTTTGCCAAACTAGTTATTCCCTAACTGAATGTTTTCTTTTTTCGAATTTTAAGCGCTCATCACCACTGAACCGCGCACTGTTCAATGGCAATCCATGTTCAAATGTGGGAGTTATCTCACATGGAAGTGGCCTTGTAGAACCGAAAAAAGAGATGTAAGTTTGAAGCTAAGTTGGGTACTTTATAAAACAACAAATGTGTGTTTATGGTATCTGATTCGAAGTCTACTGGAGAGATAGTTGAAAATGCATCTGCATCTGCAAGAGAAACAATGAGGTTCAACAAAAGATTGTGAGACCCAACGGCTCTTAGTGGCTTAAAATTATTGGAGACTACCAGAAAAGTTGAGAAAAAAACGAGAAACCGGAGACTCTGGGCTCACTGACGTACATGTGATTTGGCGATATTCGTTATTGCTTTCCGCACCACTACTTATATTATCGATGAAGAGGGAAAAAAATGACGAAATGTTATTTGTGGCGTTGTGTAGGATAAAAATAGTTCGAGTCTTTATATGTTGAAAAGGAATATTTACTTTTACAAGGTGCACCTATTATAGAGAAACTCCTCAGTCGTTGGGAGAAGAGAACAATTCTCATTCTTCATCACCTGCAAGGAGTGAGGTAAAGCGGTATACCATCACTGCTAAGGTGAACTTTTTTTTAGAAGGAAAATAAGCTCTTAAGGACGTTGGATGTCATCTTCTTCCACCAATTTCTTTACACTGATTGGTCTAAAGTCAAATGACTAAAATTTGAACTCTGCTATTGTAAAAGGCTTTCTTACACCTCGAAATTCCCTACCACTTATTAAGATGAATTTATTGGTACTCATTCTTACTAGATGAATTTACTCATGATAGTTCGGATCACTTTAATGTCTCAATAGTTTTTTCAGTTATATTTCTTGTACAACCTTAGGTCCGACGGAAACTTATTCTCAAGGAACCGCCGAACACTATCATTCCCAGGGCTCTGGTATCAAAGCAAGATTCCATCTCCGGTCTAGCATCCACAGCTCTAAAATGCTCAAGTAAAATGTTCATTTCTTTCTATAAAAAGAATAGACTTATCACTCGTTCAGTAATGCCTTTTAATAAGCGTTTTGTAACAGGTGGTTAAAACGTACCCTATCATGGGCAATACACACGATTTACACGTCAGAGCTAAAGTTTTGCCTACACATATACTTTTCTTGTTCTTTTACAACAGGTACATTCGAAAAACTTTATGTCGCAGAACGCGACAATTCGTTAGAAAATTGAAATCATTGTGAGATGAATAATTGTTGCTTGAGTATTTTTTCTTTCACTCTCGAAGTCTTTGATTTCGCACATACTGTCCGCATAGTTTTAAAATCTAATCGTTCATTCTAATTAAATAACTTGATGAGGTTTTGTTACTAGATACTTCCTTTACACTTTTGATTAGCAAGAAGTACTTTTAATTTGTTTTAGTTGTTCATTAGACGGCGATATCGGTGATGAAATGGAATTTAGTCACCAACTGTTTAGAAACGAGTCCACATTCCAAAATCACCGTAGAGCGCTATTGATTTTATGATCCCATCGAGGTTTAAAGATGAAAGTGTAATAGAGGCCGATCTTGAAATGGGTACATGATTTCTGTAATTTCCTCTGCTGCAAAGCGATTGGACGTATCTAATCTTCGTAAGACGTTTAGTCCTAGAACGCCACTGAGACTGAGTGTATTCCGAGCCGTCATATATGGCAATCCTATCACACTATTGGTTTTTCAGCGATACAGAGCAATGAAAAGAAGAAGAACAAGTCAAGTCGCACCAACAGTAAGTGGAAAACTTTTGATGCTTGTTTTTTCTTTGTCTAAGAAATGCCATGACGATTCAGTGGAATTTTGGAGATCCCAAGTAATTTGCTAGTAGTTCGACCATTATTATCTGCGAAATCGTTTTGCCCTCCCGTGGTAGACTACATGAGACGTGGTTTGACCTGCTTAGATTTGTATGTCCTTTTGTCTGCATGCAATTTTCACTTACGATCGAATTTATTAAGGATTATGGTTGCGCATGGTTTTACAGCAATCGTTAGTATTTATTACATTATACTGTTTCTCTAGTTCACACACATCATTTAATGTTGTATCTATCGGAATGATCGTTCTGTCGTCTCTTTAAATAACGTGCATGTGTTAATTCTATCCTCGAGCAGCCGTACCTAAAATGATATGAAGAGCATGGTTCCCGATTATAACAGCATGACATTTTGTTTTTATCAGTTCGCATAATTCGTAGTAAACGCTAATGATGAAGTTTTGCCGGCCACATGCCGCGTGTCTGTAAGCCGGAGCCACCAGCGAATATTTCTCTACTGGATGATCAACCTCCTGTGGTGATCGAGATGATCAACGATTTGCGTCCCCATGTGAATAAGGCGAAGGAAGAAGTAATGCGATACATTGAACCTGCTACACCTCAAAACTCACGAAATGCGCGAGTTCTGAAGACGATTACTGAGAACGCTCACGGAAATAGGGCCTCACGTACTGACCACGGTTCCTGTGACAATTCCTGTGCTCCGCCGGTTAAGGAGATTCCATTAGGGAGGAAAAAACGTTCGGATATGCGCCCTCCAGGCAGTAAGTCATATTACAACTAGCCACTGTTGCTTTTGTTGTATCGTTGTTTTGTGAAGAAAGAGGAAATACTAAGTTGACGATGAGTGAAAAGAAGAAAAAAAATTGAAGATGATAAGAAAATTAGATAAGTTTTGCGTTCATTGACGTTCTATGACATTCTTAAGCTTGCAGATCATGCTACTACACGCATGGACAACTCGTTACTTGTTACTACTAGAAAGTTTATTCTGTTGAAGAGTGAAAACAATGTAAGTACTTTCTAATAATTGTGCTGTGCCTAATTAAGTTGTTGTAAACAAAGCTTTTGCAGGTAGTGAATTTGAATGAGGCTGCTGTGCTACTGAATGTGCCGAAACGTCGCCTCTATGATATCACAAACGTTCTTGAAGGTGTTGATCTCGTTGAGAAAGTTGGCAAGAATAGCATTCGTTGGAAGTGAGTGTCACGGTTGTAGCAAAAGGGATTAGAAATGGTTTGAGCTATTCTGAAAGCAGATTCATTTCATAAAGTATGTGTATATTACGTTAAGTGTGACGGAGTGGCCAATGCAACTATGGGACGCAACTAATAATATGACAATATAGGACTACTACACCTCAAGAACATTGTTTGTGTCATCGAGTGGTCGAGCAATGTACACCTGCTAAAAGCCGCTTCAACGTATCGTGAATGTGGAGGCGCATGTAGTTCAGTAGTTAGGGTGCTTTGCAATGCCCGCCCTGATTATCCCTTCGATTCTACGCCTAGGACAAAACAACGTTTTATCATTTTATTGTCGGAACATTCGCAGAACATTCAGAGATTCGTGCTAAACTTGTTTGAGAGGATGAAGATGCTAAAATAGTAGATCGTTATCCACCTTAAGTGATTGAATGTGAAAATTATGCATTCAGTCCATTGTTAGAGTATGGTGCTTATTAGAGTCGAATACTTGGAACATTACCAAAGAACTGGTCAGCGGCGAAAACTTTGTCCTTTATGCTTTATAATTGAGCTGCTTTTGCATGGCTACAATTTAAAGCAATTGAAGCAATTAGAACGTAATAACAAAGTAAATTTTGTCATTTTTTGGCTAATGTAGTAGTTTCGCTGTAAGATTGTCAACTAGCGTGCTAGAAAATTCTTTGTTGACTGAGTAAAAGGAAATGAATTTAGTAAAATGACGGTGCTTAGTTCATAGTAGTTTGTCAGAGAGCTACTAAATTAAATGAAATGATTCCTCACTGAAATATATCTCATATGTCACATTGATGATGCTTGAACGCTGTTGCGAATGTTTTTGAGAGTGTATGTTTTGTAACTCCCACGACCGACTTTCTATTAACCTCGGCATTGATCAAGTAATTCTTCGTATTTTTGTTGAGCAAACGCGAGGTGTTATTATTCTTTATTCACGAATAAGCTGACGTTTCGGCGGATTTCGCCTTCCTCAGAGCCTGGAAAGGTCAAGTTGATAGCAATCTACTCGGCCAGACGCCTCCATAACCAAACAAAGAAACTCACGCGTAATACAGGGCAGTATATAAGACTGCTTTTCTGTTGGGAGGGGCACATTATGCTTCCATGTGATTTCTGTGCGGTTGTTCTCTACGTGACATACTTAGTGGAAACCTCATGGAAAGCGGTGAGTGTGCGAAGCTGTGTTCAATGTGATTGAAATCTTGGTTTAGAGTTTCTTTGTTTGGTTATGGAGGCGTCTGGCCGAGTAGATTGCTACATGTTTTGTTTTTGTTCAGTACTAAATGTGTTGGAACTAGAGCACCATGTATCCTAATTCATAGGCTCTTTTTTAGCTCACTAAGAAAATTTTTCGCATTTCGACTGAAACGCGTAAGATCTTCAGTTATCATCTATTCTTAGTATTCAGTTATTTATAGGACGGATGATGGCGATAATAACCAGTTGCGTGAACTTCAATCACAGTGCAGATCACTAACAAAGCAAGAAAAACAACTTGATGAAGTTATTACCGACTTGAGCTCAGCAGTGAAAATAATGAAGGAGGATCCTACAGATATGCCACATGGGTAGGTTGAAAGTAGTGGGTGTATATTAATTTTTCACTTGTCGCATAATTTATGGACAATACAGTTGTGGTAGTCACATTGATGATGCGTTGCCGTTATCTGCATTTCCGCTAAAGCATTGCTGGTGCAGAGGGGTATTATTAACTTGTCCAATGTCTCATGGAGACCAGATGATGAATAAGCGAGTATTTTATCATTTGCTGATGTTCCCGCGTATCGTTTCATAAAATTTGGTGAGTAGGGAGGCTCTATATCTCTGATTTCGAAAGTCGAATCGGCTGTTGTGGGAGAGCGATGTCGCATTGTGCTGGTCTAAACTCATATCTGAGCGATATATTTATCCCTTAACACGCGAGGATCAACACCTAATTCTCATTGACTGTGACGTGGAGAAGTGCATAGTTTTTTCCGAATTTGGTTTGTTGAGCTCCGTCTACAAACTGCAAAACTCCCGGACCGTTTTTTGTATTACCATTGTCCTTCCGTAATTGATTTCACAACAGATTTGGAGTATATTTCTGTCTCTTTTGTATACTGTTGATGTCGGCTTATTCAGTGCTGGTCATCGTGATCATTAAAAGGGAAATGGCACTCAACCGCTGCTCGAAATTAGATTTCGCAGGTCCAAACCATGTGAGCAGTCGACGAGTTGAATTCCATTTCCACTTACGTGCACGTGAGAAATGAACAGAAAACCATTGTAGCTGCTGAAGATGATTAGCCATCTCTTGTGTTTACCTAGAAGAGTCCGAATAATGTGAATGGGATATGGAGACGAGCAATATGCCCCCTTATCGAGGCAGTATGAATATTCCAGAGAAAATGACTCAATCACCATTTTGCGAATTGCATTAAGAACCCCAAACAGCGGCCTGACAGCGGGCAGACAAAAATGAGAGTCTTCGTTGACTGTGAATATGAGGAAATGAATCGAATGGAAGAGGATTTAGTTGGTATCCACAGAGTGTCTTGTCATGCAAAAAAAGTTTCGCTACGCTAATAAGCTCTGCACTTGTAATTCTTCCGGCTCTTCTGCATTGAATGAGTCGGTAATTTAATTTTTGCAACAATATTAGTGAACATTTGACGAGCATGAAGATGGAAAATAAGAATATTGGAATGCGTTCTATAAGTCCAATCGTTGCTATTTATCGGTAACTCTTTGTTTCAACAATAAAGTTTCAATGAAAAAATTTTTTTTAATTCGATCTTTTAGCACCGGCTTCTCGATAACTTATGAAGGTTTCTTGCCTATTAGAATGCTTCAGTTGTTAAAATCTTTATAGATTTATGGAAGAGATTTTGCTCTGTCAGATTTACCGCTTGCTTAATAGTTATATGGGGTCCTTAAAATTCGTGTTTGTTTAGAAATGCAGTTCTCGAAATAATTCTGGATTCCAACAGTTTTTATTTCAATTAATGAATTTCACTCTGAGCTGAGGTGTATCGATATAAAGTTAATTTTGGCTATTATTTTCGCATCGCTCAACTCCTACAGATGTCACATTGTCGCGTAAGTGTTAATAAGACCACAGTCGCTGTCAGTTTTCACGCTTTTTTAGCATATTTTTTAATGCATTTTTTCTTAAACTTTTCTAAGGACCGCCTTCTATGAACTAGCATCTTTTCTAGTCCATTTTTTTCTTACCATACTAACTAACTCACTACTAAAGTCTTCCCTATCTCTACTAAGTATGAGTAGCTGAACAGAAGCTTTCTTGCAACGGTGAAAGCTAACAAGATCCTCGAATTTCGTCAGCAGTTAAAACAAAAGTGTAGGCGAATACTAAAACTGGAGTTAACAAGTGAAGGAATTTCGGAGGATGTGTTGCAGTTTTTACCTATTGGTTCGATTTCAAATTAGAAACAGGTTTTTGATATGGCCAAGAAGTTGCTTAAATTCATGACTGTTTATCACTGTATTCGTTCTAAAACTTGTAATCTGCTGTTGTGTTTAGGTTAACCCTGTGCCTTTAGGTATGTTCGTCTAGAGGAATTGCGAAAGCTGAGCAAATTTTCTGATCAAACGTTGATATTACTAAAATCTCATCCTGGTGCACCTTGTACGGTCGAGGTAATAAAATTTTTTCCTTCATTACTTCTTTGTTTTGACAAGACCTAATTTTACATATGTTGTACGCTATATGGTAGCGTCTTATTCTATTCAAACATTCTGTGGTTATATGACGTTTTAATTTTAATCTGTTTATTACATTTTGTTTAGCTTATTTTAGAGCTGAATGATCATAAATCATTCCCAGGTTACTGATCACGACAGTACTCAGCAATTTCAACTGAAAGTAAGAACTGAAGATTTCTCTCCTCTGAGAGCTTACATCGGTGAATCGGGCAGCAATACTTTTTCAAGTATTGATGAAATGCTTTTGCCAGGTGTGTTTATGCTTTTTTTTTAAATTATTTTTAGGATTAATTGAGCTGGTCTCGACACGTCTGTATCTTTCCTCTTTCTAGCGCGTTTCGCTTTATTTCTCTGGTGTTATTTAGCTTCATTTTGCGATTATTATTACTTCTTAACTATTTAAATTATGAAAAGTTAGATGATTACCTTCTTTGAATGCTTTCCAGGAAAATCTCCAAGCAATTCCGTTAGTTTACGTGATGAACCAGAGCCATCACCATCCACTCATGTAGATGAAACACTCTTCGAAGCAGGCGATGTAGAAATGAAACCTCCAGTAATAGATGCGGGTTCTTCCATGGTGTTACCTAAGACTGAATTACGCCACGATTCACTTTCTGATTTAATCACACCAGATAAAGTCATGTTTCAAGGAAGTGGAACATTTCTCAGTCCTCTTAAGGTGTGCTTCAGTTATCAAACGCTTCAAATATTGCATGTAATTCGGCTTGGTTTTCAGCACGTTTCTTTCAGATGTTACTTGATCCATATGCACAATTCCCAAGTAATAGCGAGACGGACTCATCGAACATACTACTGACCCCGGATGCTACCGAACTGGATGCGTATAGTTTTCCATCGTCAGGGCTCAGTCTTAATGATCTCTTCAGCAGTTCCGATTGGGAACTACCTCAGTAAAACAACATTTGTACTGGTTCATAGTACGGTTTTGCAGTACTAATCATTTGTTTTGCGACGATATTAGGCGATGGTAGCACACGATATTTCAGAAGATTTTTTTTTTATTTTTTTTTAAACGTAATGGATGCGTGAAAATTCTGGTGAATTGATATCTCCTCGTATAGCCTTACAATTGTGTAGTCAAAGAAGAATTTTGATTAGGGTCTAAAGCTTACAAGTTTTGGATTGCGTTTCGAAAATGGAAATAAGAACGATTAGACGTTGTGCATTTCTTCCGACGAGGAAGCAGTGCTACGTATTTCGGCAGCACAAATTCCTAGTGATTTACAGTAGATGACTGCTTCAGAGAGGTATTTTTGGTAGCGAATTAGTAATTAAAAGCTCTTTCCTGTTAGAGTTTGTCAGTATGCGTTAACATTAAAGTAGTTATACATCGGAGATGGTTGTAGGCAAACTACGCGAAAACATCGGTAACTCAACTTATCGAAGCTGTGCAAAATCACTTGCGAAACAAGCTCCTCGACGTCCTGATTGAGAACGTTTTGATTTCTTGTTTTTGATGAATAGGTTCGGCACACCTGTTGTATGAAGTGCATTTTTCGTCACATATCACATCGTAATGAAGAAATGAGTCTTTCTTACCTCACGAAACGTTGCACAAACCAGATGTCGTGGTTAAGAATTTAGTGGATCACTTCTGAGTTTTCTGTTTTGATACAATTTTGAGGTCTAATCAAATTTTAGTTCTAAAAATGACCAATTTCTTTCATTTTATGAAATAGCTTCAATTTCTTGTTTACAGCTGCAAAAGAACGTCCAGAATCGTTTTTATTTTCGAAGCTGTCGTTTACAGCATCACAATTGAGGTGCACGTTTAATGCCACGTGGAAATGTTGGCATGTTTGGTGGACACTGCGACAATCTCCTCTACTCTATGTACTGTTTGAGGCCTATACTTTACGATCTCCGGAATTTCCCATTTTCCATTGTCAATTTCATAGCGCCTGAAATAGACAAGAGTAGACAGTGCCAACGGTGCCACCAGCAAAGGTAATCGAGGGTATTTTCGCATGAAAATAGTGGTGTCGTTCCCATCCGGTGACCAGCAGATTCAGTTATGTTGTAAATTGACATTGTTGTTCGTTATTGCATCATTTTTTATACTTCATATTTTTCCCGGCACTTATTTCATTAGATTCGTTTTTCTTGTATTCGTTGTCCACAAGTTCTTCGAAGATTTTGTTCTTTTCTTCTCCTACTTCATATTCTTCTTTATAGATGCTCATTTTGTCTGAAGGATATATCTATGACATTTTTTTCTAAAAAGTGTTAGTCGTCTGACCGTCGGTAATTATGAAGTGCTTTTCGTTTTTTCATATTTGATGTTTCGTAGTTTTTTTAGATTACTTAAGGTTACTTTAATAAATACCCATGTATTGTTTTTAGTGTTTTTGTCATGGTATGTTGGCATACCGTATATTACTTGAATCGTGGGTTTTTTATGAATATTTTATTCAGACGCTTCTGCAGATTCACACTTGAGTCTTCAATCCTTGCCTGCATCTGCACGATGTTCCGTGTGCACTGGTTTGGGTTTGCGCTAGTCATTGCTCAAGGTGATTCCATCATTCGTATACCAACACCTTAATATAGTTGTGGTTTTGTGCATAAATAATCTAGTAACGAGTTTAAATGGTTGTTTCAGTCTTCTTGCTAAGAAGTTATCATGTCGGTGAATTACTTTGTCGGAATTGTGGAGCAAGCATCACGAGACAATCGGAGCTGTTAAATATTACCGCCTCAGAACGTCACTACAAGTACAAATACGACTTTCCAGTCGTCGGAAAAAACACTACGATACATGTGTTTGAAAACCCCGCAGGTTCAGCAATATAGATCTTCATTTTACTGTCTATGTTTTTGTTGATATATTACCTCTTTCATATCTATCTTTCAAGGTTTTCCACTTTATGTTTAGAAAATTAAGATTAGTTTGAATCTTATAAAATTTCCAATTGTCAATTCTGCATTCGCACATGTGCCGCTAAGAGATTATCATCTACATTTACCGTTCAAGTTTTGGAATTCCACATGTAGCAACGTGATTTGTGGAAATATTCATCTATTCGTTAAAACCAGCTGATGTGAATTGGTTTGAACTGGTTTCCTTTGCGATCTCTTTTTTGCCGCATAGATATATTTCGCTCCAAGTTAAGTGTAACTCAGTGAAAACTCTTCTTTACACCCAAAATTTTGCCAAAGGAAGACGTTTTTATTTCGGGCGAGTTCGTTTGCCTAACTTGAATCTCGTGGCACGTAACAATTGTTACTGGTGAAGAGAGTATTGATGTACTTCTATTACTTGTGCACTATAGTTCGATATTTAGGGACATCTAGTTTCCAGGTAGTGACTTGAAAACTATTGGTGGGGTCTGTATTGGTATTATTTATTGAGTTAGAGTATATCTTTATTGTTGATCTCACTAAGACTACTTTCTCTAAAGGGGCTTGGCGTTCATCAGTGTTGTAGCTATTATCTGCTGCCTATTCTTTTTTAGTAGCAGGGTTTTAAGTAAACGACGACCGCAACGCCGATGAGATACAAGCCAAACTCGAAACCTCCAGCTTCTTATTGTGACTGTGCTATCAGTATTCACCCATCAACTGCATTGAGCACAGTTAAGCTGAAACTGTAAACTGGCTTGGAGGAGGGTAAAGCAATGATCTCGGTTAGTGCAGTGGATAGTATTTGTGCCCTCGAAAACAGTAGTCGTGGCTTTGGAGCGCATCTGTTTCGTGTTTTGCTGATATCTCAGCATCCTTGTGGTTGCTCGTCACTGTGTTTGCAGGCATTGTGTCTTCTGTCGAACTTATACAGCTTTCATCATATTTCGTGCATCTTCCTTAAATAGGCGTACTTCAAAGTCAGCAGTCCTTTTGACACACTTTTTTCTTACTATTTAGAAGTTAGAAGTATTTAAAGCCTGTAGTCTTTTTAATTAGTATACATTACGGACCATCATTATTCATAATCTGCAACCTTTACAATTTACGTATGTTACATGATGCTGTAAAGCTCAGTCTTCTGTAATCCAAACAAATAATTCTTAGCCAGAGACTACAGGAGACGCATTATCCTCACTGTCCTAAATGTGGTTAAATTCTTCATTACACAGTCGAGAAAGAAGATGGTGTCTGTGCTCGTTTTTAAAGTGCTAAAGTTTTGATGGTTTTCATTTCAACTAAAACTGCCGTAGAATTATAGGCTCCTTGTATAATAATCTTTCCCGTTATTTTAGTTGTTGACAAATTTTTAAGAGTTGTCTAAAAGCCAGCATCATCCATTATGTGTTAAGTATATACAAATCAATTTTGACTAGTATGCGTTTTTTATCACTTTGGCAGCAAAAAAGTTTGAAATTTTCTTAAAGGAATGGAACAGTGTACTGAAAGATTTAGAGCTTGCGTAGGAGATGAAAAACGGAGAAATTGCTAACAAAGTGCATAGAAACCGAGCGAATAGTATTTACTACGGAAGGGGTAGAGTTTGACAACCGGCATGCAGTGATCTCAATTCTCAGCGAGTGCGGTGAAGAATCGGGCGTGAACCATATGTGGCACTCACATCAATTATATGTCATTCTCTAAACGCGAACACATAATGCCCAAGGTGCATTGAGTACAATGCATTCGATGCGAAAATAATGGCCGCTTTCTAGTTTACACGAACATATCCTAGCTCATATTGAACCTTTTTTTTATTTTATAGGACCCGTCATTACATCTACTGTGCTAATCCCAGCACTTCTTGAATCCAAGTCGTTTTCCTCGCATTCATCCTTATCAATGGCCTTCGAAAATTTCGAGTGTTGTTTCGGCTTCTGCTTGAGGATTTCGTTCTTGTTTTATGGATGTGGTAGAATGCTGGTGAAGTCGATTCTCCTTTCAATCTCGAAGATAGCTGAGCTAACGCGTTCCTTTGTAGATTGGAGGAGAGTGTTAGGGAGGGAGTCGAACTAGAGCTGATCGACTGAATCACTAACCACTACGCTTTCACCTCTCCTATGAAGCCTTATTATTATTATGAATAAAAGCTTTTCCAGTTCAAAACCATTGTCAACAAGATTTATTTTGTTGTATTCTGAGGATTAAATCCTCTGTTTCTGGAGCCCGTTACTCATTTTTCTTTTTCTTTTTTTGCGTGATTTCTCATACTTCGAACACCGGAGCGACTGAACAACCAAAACTTCATATGGCAGGACGTGGTTCTGTTGTCAATGTGTCGCTTAAGTTTGCAGCTGCTGCGCCTTTGTTGTAAACTTTCGTTTTCAGTTTTTGAGAATACCAATTCTAAACATATTTAAAATTAAAACAATAATCTATAGAAACCTTGTATAATTCCAAGCTTCTTAAATTCTCTAACTATCGTAAAATTATCGTCAGTTGTCGAAAAACCAGCTTTGAGTGCTATTTGTTAAAAACTGCTTATAGTTGCAGAATCGCCACAGGCAGTTTGATTCTACGGTATTGTAAATGAATACTTAGTTTTAAGATAGATTGTTCACTATTACCAAGTAATCTAGGACTTCACTTCGCATATTTCAGCTGAAACGTTCCACGTGCTTGCTGCGCAAACAGCTCATCTTAAATTTCGAGGTCAGGTGAGGTGTGCCGCAGTCATTAGTATTAACACTATTAGTTGCTATGATTATTGTCATTACTTGTTGCAATATTTACTGTCGCTGTCATTGTGTCTCTGTAATAAATTTAGCCGTCGTCTGATGCGGTGTGGTTTCCCGGTATGCAGTGGACGGTATGCGTCTGCAGTAAATGTGATCATCACATGGGATGGTGAGAATTGTTGCAATATTGGCGTTTTGACTTCGGGGCAATGTTATGTGCTTTGTTATCTGCAGTTTTTTCTGTGAATTCATATTCCAACTGATTTTTCTTGTAGAAACAGATTCAGTTATTCACCTGGACTTTTAGTTTAAAGCCTCTTTCCGGTGTTCGGAAATTTTTCTAGTTGTCTCTTATGGAATGCGTCTAAATTTTTCCCAAAGAGTTGTTTTAGGTACTTTCAACCAGAAAAACCAAATATACAACATTCACAACAGAAAAGCTTTGTGGGATTGGTACTAGACTATTTGATCTCTGCTGACTGTATGTTTCATATCCTTTTAATTTAATCTTTTTCCCAACTTTTGTCTTCAGTTTTCATCGGACACAGTTTGGTTGCCAGCTAATTGTACAAGCTGTATATCTTGGAAACGGATTTTTATTTGGCCTGAATAACGAAGGGTCAATATCTTGTTGTATTGATAATCTAACACGAGATTGTTACAGAATTTTTGTTTTCGATTTTCCAGAGCAGATTCGAATCGATTATCCACAGTTGTTTTCTTCTCGGAATGCAGGTTTCAACGAGTGAAGTCGCCCTACTAGGCAGTTTATGCAGCGTATTACGTGACTTTTTGTTTATTGATAGTTTCTTTTCCTGTAAGTAATCCATCCTGGAGCAGTCGGGTTTCTATCAGCTGGCATGTAATGTAGAAGTGTTGTTTTTAAGAACTGGTTATAGTTTTACCTCGATATGGATGACCAACCAAACTACCGCATTAGACTGGATACGACTACGATGGCTGACGTCGTAACAAATCACTGTAGCGGAAACTCGAATCGTTGCCGCTTTGAAGAAGGCGAAAGAGCAGAAACCTCAGCCACAAAAAAAATTTTGTGACGACCTCATATTGGATCATCAACACAACAAGATGTGGTACAAATTAGATTTGAAATGTTCTTAGCGGCATACATGTGTGTGCACTGCATCAACCTAGAAGCATTATTTAACGAATGTCGTTGTTGGCGTTGCTGCTGAGGTTTTCTATCACTTTTAGATGTGGACACAGTCACAAAGGTTCCAGTATGAAATTTCCACGCAGCAAGAGTTTTAGTGCAGCTGTATATGTCATTATACCTTGAAGTTAAATGCGAAATGCATGTGCTTGTGCTCTGCACATCTCAAGTTACTACTTGTTTGTTGAGAAATCATTTTTCGACTGGTGGATCAGCGTTACTATTATTCGTCATTCCACTTTTTTCTTGCAAACTATGGTAGTTTTTTTCATATTTACCTCATTGATGGAATTTCTGGTACGTTCTCACTAAATACGTGAATATTGACTGCAGCACATTTGGATGGTGCAAAAATAATCGTGGTTCTTGTTGCCATACACTCTTGTGTTTGTTTTACGATAAACTATCATTTAACTGCCTTGATGTAAAATATAATTTCCTTTCTCATTTGAATGAGATGAATTTTGCGGGTACTAAAATACCAGAAATCTGGTTGTTTAACGTTGAGTTTCCACAGCTCCTCCTTTGTGTTTTTTATCCTGGGGCTTCTAATTATAGAGTAAATATTTTCACATTGTTTTAATGCTTGCCTTAGATTTATTGAATTTTCCTCATTCCTAACTGTTGACTTGACTCTGTGCATATAAATGTGTTGCCGCAGTAAGTAATCCAGTACTTCGAAAGTTGTGTAGTCTAGAGAATGAGCTACATTCGGTTATATTACTGAGACTACTTCTTACATTTGTAAAATGTGGTGTGATTTAGTCCGTTATCTTCTATCCGCTCTTGCGTGAAGATATCTGTGTTTGTTATTTATAGGAGTTCAATAAAGCTTTACTTTGTGCTCTTGTAAAATGCTGCAAAGGACTTGTATAATGGAATGTTATAATCTGCAATGGAGACAATATTCATGTATGTCATTGGTGGATGTTGATCGGCAATGTTCAACGTACGCGAAGAGTTATCGTCTTGAGGATATACACTTTCTGAGGTCTATTGAAAGCTTTGGGGAATTTTCCGAGTCGCTAGCTTTCCATTAACGGAACCGAGGCAGCAGTGCTCCCACCATTTAATTTCGCCATCACATTAATAAACCGTAGGCGTTGTGAACTTGGGATATTCTCTGATTGATTGGTAATGTATGGCCGCAGACTTTCTTTTTGACAGTGATGAGTAGGTCACATTTTCTGTTTATGGAAAATTCCAGTGGGTGGCTCCTTGTGTTCTTCCTCATATATCATGAAATGGACGTTGTATGCATATGTAGTGAGAACGGGACAGGATTGTACCTGTAATAGGTCATGTTTGTTTAACTACTATTTTCCCAATTTCGGGTTTGAACTGAAAACGGGTTGTTTCAATTATCTGAAGTTTTACAATCACTGTAGAAGGGGAATGTGTAGATTCTCCCGTTCCCCTCAATTCTGAAGTACGCTTTATCACATGAAATAATATGCATATGAATCAGAAAAAGATGGAACAATCTGGTGATCAGTGTTCTTAAAAATTACGACCTTGTTTATTTAGTCTTATTAATGTTTCTCATCACATGAATACTAAAGCCTCCATAAAATGTTAGCAAACTGCTCTAACCCTCCTAGTTCTACGCAAGCACATTCACATGCAATCCTAAATGGTGGCTTCAAGCAAAGGTTTGAAATAAAACGTCTCTTGAATAGATTGGAACCAAACTGTGGCAAATGCGCCACGAAACCTGTTCTCTGGAAACAAAGCTGTGAGAATCGCGTGAATATGATACTTTGGCTTTCACAACCTTTCTTTGAACACTTAAGCTATGGATGGATGTGAAATAAATGTGGCATTGGCCCATTTGTTCTCAATAAACTAAAGTCCATAACATTAGATTGGATTCAACTACACAAAACTGTGACATAAATCCGGAAGGGGCGGGTATTCCAGCTATGGAGCAGGACCCCCACCAATCTCGTATACCTCCGCCTACTTTCGTTCTAAAGAATTCGGTATTTAAAGGCAAGCTGCATTACTTCAAAAACCACGGTTTCGTCTGTTGTCGAAGGGCCTTTTTTCTTATCCCGGCGATGTATTTATGATAGTTGCTTTCTGCTTCCTATTTTGATCCTGAAGTGGATACTATTTATACACATGAGATATTCATGCTTTTTATATAATGCGCACTAAATATTTAATTTTTTAGGCGAGTAATGATCTGCCTTCCACCTCTAATTTTACTTTTACTTTGCTCGTCTGTGGGCCTTCATGCTATCCCACTGTATAGTGAAAACGAGATTCCTGTACTTACGAAGAGGCTCAGCAACGATGCTTTGATCCGGTTACTAATAAGGTACGGGTACCGTGTAACTGCATATTTCTGATAGTTGTCAATGACCTCGTTCAACAACGTTAAGCTCACATAATTGGTAAAGGTATTGCTTCTGTACCGAAGGTTGCCTCCCATCGCGGAGCCAGCAAATCCACTCGAATTCCATAGTTTTTTACCTTAGCAGGACTATAGTACATAATAATTTTCTCATGATAACTTTTTTGAGAGTCGTGTGTAAAGTAGCAATTCGAAGTGGCCTTGCAATGCACCTGGTCGCTGGTTCAATCACGCCGCCCAGGCAAACCCAACCCTTAGTCCATTCAACGTCCAAATATTGACACCAGATTTGTCTAGGAAGACAAAAGCACTGACTTAGGTACATTCCTAAGCCACCGAATGTCGTCTTTTAGGCTGAATATGCATTCATTCACGCCTGCAATGTTACGAACGGAGTCGAGTGCATGGCCCATCCCTCAGAGAATGATCAGGCCGAACGCTTAGTGTTTTATATTCTTCGACCATGAAATTCTATGCGCATTAGTTTAGTTCGCCTACTTGTGAACGTCACTTTAGTCAAAAATAAAAATAGGCAGGTTTTTATAATATGCTCAAATTCAAGTGCATTTTCACGTGCCACTATTTCCACTCATGTCATATGAAGTGCGTTTCGTAGTCATATCGGAATGCTGGAAGGTGGCAGGTGGCGCCGAAATTGTTCAGTGCGCTTGGGCGCGCAAGTTGAACGATGCCCTGAAAGCTGTCTATGGTTCGCTAGCCCTAACGGTCAATCACAGTACGAATAATGCAATATGAACACACTATCTGGTTTCGTTTAATTCGATCAGTATAAATATTGACTTGAGTTCATTTATGCCTACGATAACAAAGTTTGCTTCAACTTGTTTTATTAATAAATCTGAAGGATTTGTTAGACAAGGGAAACCCGCTCGGGTAATTATGAATTGCAAACAACTAGTTATGAAATAAGCAAACGAAACGGCTAAAGAAGGTCGACTATTCTTATTGGCTGCATTTGATGGAACTAATGAAAGTTACAAGCGTTCAACCTTGGTCAGTCTTCGTGAGATGCTCCATGCATTCAACTTCATCAATTGTCGTTAGTGGGGATTGAATCCATATTTGGCCTATACATTGACTAATTGTGAGTTCGCGAATTATCGGTTAAGCGCTGCTATCCTTCCAGACAAGTCTGGTACCAATTTGCAGATCCCAAACAGATGGAAGGCTTGGTGAATCCGGATAGCAGCGGTGTGTGTATCGCAGGGCACCTCGAACCACTGCGTTCTAACAGTTTGATGGAACTACGGGAAGGAAACCGTTTAAGGGTATACACTTTTGTCGAACGTCATGGACTGTTTCTGCAAGAAATCGCTCGGATTGGACTGTTGCTAATTTACATTAATTTTAGTGGTTGGGTTAGATTTTCTCTGATGTTTCAAAACAGTGGTGCCCAGGCACGCTCAAGGCATTACTACAAATAGTAGTCAGCATTTGTGGATAGGATGGACGCTTATCACTCTATGACTAGGATCCAACATGGCGGCTTCGGCAAACATAAAGTTACTTTTTCTTTCTCGCAGTTTTTCTCGTCGTATATAGTTGAGATGGGGCTGCACCCTTCGTTTTCCATTCCACAGTTCAAAACCGAGAAATATACCCCAGCCGCTGATGGGATATTGTGGCTGACTTCTTAGCTGGTAGTATTTGTGCTTTATTGCTACTGAGCTTATCGAACCCATCAGTGCTGGAGAGCAACGAAGAGGTGCAATAATAAAAATAGGTTCATTATACTTGAGGAGCAAAACGGAATCCATTCACAAAAGTGTTTGATGATGGAGCGTAATGTCCTAAATACTCTTTTACGCAACGGCGACGATTTCGTAGACAATAAATACTACGTTATCGATGAAGCCATTAGTGTGTAGTGACTAGACAATTTTGTCTAATTATTCAGTGTTTTCAAACTGAAATTATGAATAAGTCTACAACAGAAAAACAACCAAATTCACCATTTAAGTGTTCGGAAATTTTTTTTAGAGCTGCTAGATCAATGACGACGAGTAAGTTTAAGGTTTAAAATCCCTTGTCAATGTTTCATAAGATCAATTTTTAAATTTACTATGGCCAGACTGTTAAAAGTGAAAACATACGGAGGAATTTATGTTCGAAATATAAGAAACACGACGATTTCTGATCATAGCGTTAGGTAGAAAACTAGCTGAGAGAAACTAAAAGCAAGGGCATCAGTGGTGCAGTATGTAATACGGGAGCCCCCGGAAAGGGTAATCGTGGTTCGATCTAATCCGAGGTCCAAGTTTTACGAATATCACAGCACAGTTGTGGATGTATTCCACACCATTCCCTGCGGTGAAAAATTATAGGAGGCAGAAAACAAAACGTTAAAATTATAAGAAGCACTGTTTTCAAGCCTTATTTCACTACATGATTTCAGGAACCAACAAAATGCATTTACGGCAAAAAGAGCCGAGAAAAGGGCAGAACTAGGTCGTCGAAGTGTCGATGACGATTTCTCAAACTGCTTTCTCTCGCCGGTCCAATGCATGTTGCCTCGGTCTAGGAGATAGTCATCGAATTGCTGGATCAGTAAGACATCCAACAGGCTGTTGTGACTCAGAATTAATGATCGTAGTGCAATGTTTGAATATCGTACTCATTTCTCACTGTGCGTATAAAGGTATCATTTGTTAGAATACATGCACAATACGTAGTGACATGTATGAAGGACGGTT